CCAATTCAAATCACCATTTCATAAATCTCAAGACAAGGAGAAAGACAGAGAAAACTACTCAGATCTCATGGGTAAAACACAATAAAACTCAGAATTCATATATAAAATCAAAGTCATACAAACCACAATAAATAATCTTATCTTTAATTTCTCCCCAAGCAAACTCTTTGAAGTTCCTCTAAATCTCTTGCTTTATTTACAGCACACAGAATTCCTCTTCAAAGCGGCAAAGATGAAGAAATCACTCACTTTCTCTCCACTCTTACAATCTCTCGAAGAATTCCTCACACTTTTTTTTACTCTAACAAACACTAATGAAACCTTTCTAACCTCCAGGAACTTTAGACTCTCTTCCAACCCCTCTTTTTTCTCCATCAATTTTCGGCCAAAATTGTCTTTTAAAGTTGTGGATGAGCTTTCCCAAGAGTTGCCTAAGCATCCCTTCAAAATTTGGTCTTATCCAAAGCTTGAGTAGGCATAACAGCCGAGCTCGCCGTCGGCGGGCTCGAGGGCGCGGTCGGCGGGCTTCTAAAGATTTTGTCCTGTAGTCTCGGGAAAAACTCACCCATCGGCAGCGTCGATGGCAACATCGGCGCCCTTAGTTTAAATCTCCACATTTTGGTCATTTTCGCTCCAAATTCGTTCTTTTTTGCATCTTTTTGCTTCATTGACCCTAATTCATCATTCCTGCAACAAAACATCAAAAATACATTTTTTTAAAGTGCAATATCATTGAAAATAGTATAAAATAGGTATGAAAATCTCAACATATTTTCCTTTGGTCAAGATCCCTCTTCGGCATGAAGCTTACAAAAAACTCAAGGAAAATATTTTGCTTACAGGAAAGAAAAGAGAAAGCTTGGTTTCTCTTGGATCTCCCCTATTTTACTTGCTTATTCTTCACATGTCTCCCGGGTAGAGATATAAAGAGAGAAGGTGAGGAGAGAGAGAGAGAGGAAGAGAGAGAGTTTTTTCTTGTAATCATCGAAGCGACCGACGAGTGTAATTTCTCAAGCTAATAAAATCTTATGCAACTCCGTGGACGTAGACAATTTTGCCAAACCAAGTAAATCTGTATGTGTTGTGCTTGTAATTTTTTTTTACAAATTTCTTGCTCTAATTTTCATTTTATTTTCGTTGTTTTTTCACAACAGGTTGTAGAGGCCAGAGTTGGGAGCTGTGAGCCACATAAGCCACAGTAGATCACATAAGTCATAGTGGTGAGCTGTGATGACATCCATAGGTTGCAGAGGCCATAGTTTGGAGTTGCACGAGCTCTGAACCGTGTAGACCATATTTAGGGTTCGTTTTGAGCAGCTTATAATTGTGAGTGGCATTTTCAACATGCCGCCTCATTGTTTGGGAAACATGTTTCGACAGCTTATCCAAAGACGCTGTTGGGTTTTTACACTAAACGCGAGTCGAGGGTCGAACCCTGCGGGCCACCCGCTAGCGACATTTCAGGATAAGCACAAGCTGCCCGAAACACACCCTTAGTCATGTAGGTCATATTGATAAGATGTGATGACATTCATAGGTTGTAGAGGCCGAAATTAGAAGTTGTGATGATGTCCCTAGGCTGTCGAGGCCAGAATCAGGAGCTATGATGACATTTGTAGGTCGCAAATGTCTTAATCGGGAGCTGCGATGACATTCATAGGTCGTAGAGGTCGGACACATAGGCCACAGTTGATCACATAGTGGTGAGCTGAGATGACGGAATCGAGAGCCACAGTTGATCACATAGTGGTGAGCTGAGATGACATACATAGGCTGCAGAGGCCATAATATGGAGCTACATGAGCTCTCAACCACGTAGACCATAGTTAATCATGTAGGTCACAGTGATGAGTTATGATGATTTCCGTAGGCTGTAGAGGCTAGTATCAGAAGCTGCTTGGGTTGTGATCTCATCTATATGTTGTAAATGTTAGAGTTGGAAGCGATATGAACTACGAGCCACATATATCGTAATTGGTCACATAGGCCGTAATTGTGAGCTGTGATGAAATCACTAGGTTGTGAATGCCAAAATTGAGAGCTACACAATCTGTGATAACACCAATAAGTAGTAGGGGCTGGAGCTGGGAGTTGCAAAAGCTGTGTTCCATATAGTTCATATATAATTGAGTCATAGTTGTGAAATACAATGATGTTCATAGATTGCAGAGGTCATAGTTAAGAACTTAACGAATTGTGATAACATCTGTAGACTGCAAAGTTCATAGTTGTGAGCTGCATGAGTTATGACTCAAAGTCCATAGGCCGTAGTGACTAAAGTCAGGAGCTGCATGAGCTATAGACCATGCAGATCATAATGGTGAGTTGGGTTGACATTAGTAGGTCACAGAGGCTGAAGTTGGGAGTTGCACAAGTCGTGATAATGTTTACAAGACATAGAGGTTGGAGTCGGGAGCTACTTTAGCTATAAGTTACACTCGTCGTAGTTGGTCACATATGTCATAATTGCGAGTTCCGGTGATGTTTATTTGTCAAAGAGGTCAAAGTCGAGAGCTACACAAAATGTGATAATGTTTGAAGACCACAAAGGCTGGAGCTAAAAGCTTCGAGAGTTGTGAGCTTTGTAAATTGTAGTTTATCACATAAATCCAATTAAAAGTTGCTACCAAATACCAATGCCCTCAGCCGTGTAAATACTTGACTTTCGGGGACACCGGGAGAAGCATATTTAGATCATGCAATATTGAGAGAGGGGGATCCGTGGAAATACTCGTACTCCGCAAAACATTGGGATGAACAAAGTCAACTTAATATTACTCATGCCATCCATCCTAGCTAGTAGAAGCTGAAATTTTACATTTTTGAGATGGTTTTCTGGTCATTCTGATGACTTGTGCTGCTACATTTTTTTCTTTCACATATTTCTCTAGGTCAGGCTATTCTTTGTTTTGTGTGGATGATCTCATAATTCTTCTGAAGCATGACTCATGACATCTTTGCTCCATTATTTATATTTGTTAAAATTATTGACTCCCAATTAGTTAAAGACTTCTTTAATCGAAAAAAGTGTTGCATTCTTCTAATTCTTTGTCGACTATGGATGAGATTTAAGTTAGTATGATTTATTAAATCCCTAAATCCTATAAAATTGACTTGGTAAACGTTTTAAACTTGTCAAAGTTTGTTGGCTTCTTAAAATTAATTAACATTTTATTTTAAATTATGAAAATTACTAATCACATATTTATAAACTAATTAATTATTAATAAAAGCTTTATTAAATTAATTATTAAATAGAAATTTAAGATTTATAAAAGAATAATTAGTTAGTTTTAAATTATATTAATAAATAATTATCTATAAAATTATTGATTGAATAAAAAAGCAATATTTATTTTTTATTATTTAATAATTAAATAATAAATTTAAATTTATTTTTTGTAATTAATTTGATAATATTTTAATTAATTTTATTTATTAATCAATTAAAATAATAAAATTAACCTAAATTAAGATAAATTAATTATCATATGGAAATCTAGCGTTCATCACTCCTCTCCACCATGGAAATCCTCACATGTCTTTCCCTTCTCTCTGTTTCGTTCAAATCTATAGCCTTCGTGATCGAACTCACGTGATATAGACATAATTGGAGCTGGCTGGGAACACAACCAATGAATCACGAGTTATAGAGACCGTAAATCCCAAATTTTCTCCTTCCTCAGCTCCTTTGCTACACGTAACCATTGAGGAAGCTAACTTCACATCTTCTTTTTCGCACGAAGCGTGTGAAGCACTATCTCAGATTTACTAAATCCACGAATTCACGGGATTTAGTAAATTCGAGATTTATCAAATCATAGGCTTTATTTCCGCCTGACAAGATTTATTAGGTTATATCCAGCTTAAATCCTACTCTAGATCTGTTACCAAATAATTTAGGGTTTTATTTTTGATAAATTTGCTTTTGTTGGAAGAAAGCTTGGAATCTATATGAGGGGTTTAAGCACATTGCACAAAATTCTCATGCATTTGATTTTTAAATTTTTATATTCACTCAAATGATACATAAGTGTGTTGACATTAATTTTTGTTATCACAAGTGTAGGAGGTCCGTTCAAGCACACTATTTCTGTATTGCAAGATATCTAATTCAGACACTCTGGTGCGTGTTGCGGAGCATGCTGTTGAGATCATTGTGTTACTTCGGTTATCGCTTAGGCGAACGTCAGTTAGTATTTTGTCTGTTAGGCGGCTTCGATCGGGTCAACAAAACTCATTTGTCATGCGAATGTCAGTCGATATTTTGTCTGTTAGACGATTTTAATTGGAACAATAAAACTCATTAGCCACACCTCGCATGAAACTAATTTAAATTTGTTTGTTTCGAACAACGTCAGATGACAAAATCGACTGTTTAAGTGCATCAAAAATCTCAATTTTACATTAAAAAAACACCAATTTAACTATACTTTTGGGCAAGTTTAAATGTTAAATAATAAAAATAATAAAAAGAATCTCTACAAAACTCACGCACACCCACTACCCGTGGATCTTTTTTTTCCGCGCGTGCCCTAGCCCTATTTTCTCGAGACACGTCCTCACCACCTGTCGCGCTCGAAGATCGCCGGCGAACGCTCAACCGCCGGTGTTCCTCTCCTTCCCGGAGCTCCTATCCGAGGGGTTTCACGCTAGCATTTGGTCTCTCTCCCGCCTCTGCAGAACTTTGCTCGGGTCTTCCGCTCCCGTCGGCCCTAGCCCCCTCTCACGCGAAAACCTAGCAGGATCCCGGATCCCTAGCTCCTCCTTCGGTTGCTCGGAACCGAAACCCTCGCTCGTCGGCTTCCACTCCCGCCGGCAAAACTTCCGTCGGCGAAGCCCCCGCTGTGAGCCTCCTGCACCTATCCGGCGCATCCTCTTTTCCCGAGGTCCTCCTCGCCGGCAATCCGGGCGGCCGGTGACTTCATAGCCTCCTTCCCTTGCAGCCGGATGCTTTTTTCTTATTAGCCTCTTCCTTATTTGACTTGCACATTTTCGTATCTATTTTAAAATATTTTTTAAAGATTTTGGAGTTTTTGATGCATAAATAATTCTTGCACATAGAGGTGTCTAGCTGAGATCAATGAGATATCTTGATGAAGCATTTGTTGATGATATTGAAATATAATAAACTCTTTTATGCTGTGTAATTAATATAGTTTTGAAAGTGTTGTTACTGGGTGATTATCGATGGCATGACATGATGGCTCTTTATATTTGTTAAATTGTTTAATTCTCTATGGACGTTCGAAAAATAACAGTTTTGATCTGAGAAATGATAAAGCAACTAGTCCAACTTAGCTAGTGTGTTTTTTTTATTGATAATGATAATGTTCTTAGTTTAGTATATTATTTAAGCATTTGATATTATATTCTTCCTTTGCCAGTTCAAGCAATTTAAAATGCATTATTGTCGTATTTATTTTTTGGGGTGCATTGAATTTATACATGTATGTACTCATCTTTTTGATATTACATTTTATTAATGCACAGTAACTGTTGCTTTCATGAGTTTTTATTTTGAAACATGAACTGTTTGTTGGAACTTTTTGCAAACTAAATCTTTTAATATTCCTTGATAATGCTTCTTTTTTATGATTTTTAAGTAGGCTCGTGTGATGTTGCTACCTTAAACTGGCAGGGCACTTTAATCAATCCAACCCATAGTTTTTAGCTGGAAAATTGTGCTCATGGGTGATAATATGCATATGGAAGTTCAAGAGGATGAAGAAGAGGATGACCTGGACTTCAATCCGCTTTTGAGAGGAGAAACACTTTCAGAAGCATCTTCTAGTCTGAGTTCTGAAAATGAAGGTCCATGTGATAATGTCAGTAAACATATCCGAGGCTCTCTAGATAGAAAACTCAGCACTTCATCTTCAAGAGTAGAGGAGAAGATGGACAGTTACAGCCAAGAATCCGTAAATGAGGATGAGGAATCCATAATGCAATTTGATAATTCTTCCGAGAAATCAATCAAACAGTTACAAATGTCAACTTTTATTGAAGCACGCAACGAAGAGATTTCTATCGTGAATGGAAATGTTGCGACTTCCAATTATGGGAACATCAATGAGCCTATTGTCGATGATAATGATGATGCTATTTGCAGGCGCACGAGGGCCCGACACTCGCTTACAAATTACACGCTCGAAGAACTAGAGGCGTTCCTTCAAGAGTCAGAAGATGACGATGAACTTCACAATGTTGACGATGAAGAAGAATACCACAAGTTTCTTACTGCCGTTCTTTTGGAAGGGGATGAGAATGAGCAAGCAGATCAAGGAGAGAGAGCTTTCGATGAAGACGAAGAAAATGATGCGGACTTTGAAGTCGAACTTGAGGAAGCACTTGAGAGCGATGCTGAGGAAACTACTGGATGTAGCACAGAACATAGAGGGAAGCAATATGGGGATACTCATGTACCAGAGACCCGACAAAAGAAACGCCTAAAGGAGTTCGCAAAAAGCAAGAAGTTTCTCTTGGGACAATCTAAGGCGACATTACGTCCGATACTGCCTTATGTGTCAAATTCACAGAGACCTCCTTTTCCTTCTTTTGCATGGCAAATGCATTCACCTATTCGTCATTCTTCTCATCACTCTGCATCTGTTTCCAGTACAGATCTTATCAATGGGTTCACAACCAGCCAAATCGGACAGCTTTACTGTTTAATGCATGAACATGTTCAGCTTCTTGTCCAAGTTTTCTCTGTTTGTGTTCTCGATCCTTCCAGACAGCCAATTGCCAATGATTTGCAGAAGTTGATATTGGAATTGATTGAAAGACATGAAATTTCTCTTTCTTGGAGGAAGGTTTCGTATCCTTCGCTTTGTTTTCAGTCGTCAAATCTTCATTCATCCGTGCAAGTTGATTCAAATCAAAGTGCGAGCTGTTACTGGAAGCCTGTAATTGATAATGACTCTGTTTTATCTATTCTTGATGTAGCTCCACTTAAGCTTTTGAAGAATTACTTGGCTGATATTAAAGAAAGTAGGCAACATGATGGATTCTCGTCAGTTTTAATTTTAAAAACAACCTTATTTTATGAGAAAAGTGTTAAGATGGTTGCCCAATTCTTTGTATGTGGTCTTTTTAGTCCCATAGTTTTACAAAGTGTTAATTTAGTACCTGAGTTTTTAAATATATGCTGAAATAGTCTCCACGGAGGACTATTTATCCTTACTTTAAAGAGTGTGGGAGCTTATTTGTCACTTTTATAGACTTTGGGACAAATTGCCCCATGTAAACAGTCTAGGGGACTATTTAGACACTTTACTCATTATTTTATAACGTTGTGTTTAATAATAGTTCTTGATTGACCTGGCAGCTGTATCAATATTCAGAAAGAGCTGCTTGGAACATGGTCCTGTAAAGAGTCATTCAAGTAAAGAGCCTCTTTTTTCCCTACCGATGGCAGTCTCTCTGGATAATGCAGATAGCAATTTTGTAGGAGGATCCGTGACAGCACCGTTGACAGTTTCGTGTCAACTCCAATCTGTTCAACAACAACCGAAGAAATCACTAGCTGCCACACTTGTGGAGAGTACCATGAAGCAGTCAGTTGCTCTCGTTCCTGCTATTGCAAAGTTGGCGCAGAGGTTCCTGCATTTGTTTAATGCAGCACTTTTTCCTCATAAGCCTCCGACACCAGCTGTTGCAAATCGCGTTCTTTTTACGGATGCCGAAGATGGGTGGGCATTTATTGCACACTTTAACATATAGTTATTTGGCCTAATTATGCATTTACTTCTTTGTAGAATGTACCTGCTGCAGTATAAAAACCGATTCATGTCATGCTGCTTTAGTAATTGATGCCCAATTCTGTTTATTTTTTTTGGTGAATTTTAAACTCCTCATATCATTTGTTTGGTTATTATTACATCTTATTTTGAAAACAAGTAAAATGTCAAATAGTTCTCTAACTGTTTACGTGGGGCCATTTTAATTTTAGATTATGCAAAAGTGCCAAATTAGTCCCTGGATACTATTAATTGGGAACTCTTTCTTTTCAATATAAAAAGGGTGGGTTCTAAATTGATATTTTTATATATTCTGGGATTAAAATGAGCCCCCTGGAAAAAGAGTCGGGACAATTTTTGACAGTTCTCCCCTCTGTCAACTGTCTTTATATCATTTATATGCTATGCTTCCTTGCCTAAGTTTATTTATATATTTTTTTGGTATATTTAAAGCACTTTGGTATTATTTTGTGCCTAATTTATAACATTCATTTAGTTCACTGCTCATCTAAATGTCACATTTTTTTCAAAGAGAAGTCTTGTTTGCCCGAATATACTGGGTTATGGAATGGCTCCAAAAAAGGTTAAGATATGCCAAGAACAAAACTATGAACGTTCTTCATTGATTTCATGCTGCAAATATTTTTACCTAGTCTTTTTGGATAGAGCTTGGTGATTTATAAAGTGTCCTTTACATTTTCTTCTTTAGGCTTTCACATGCATACCACCCGATTTTTATGTATTCACATATCAAACACCTAAACTTCGGTTTTTTCATAGAGACCACCCCATCCCTAAGCTTCGGCCATATTCGGGGCTAGCCTGTACTTGAAAATTGAAGTGTGGGTGTTTGATATGTGAATGCATAGGAATCGGGTGGTACTATGTAAATATCTCTTTCTTTTTATCAACATGGAAAATATGCTGTTTATGAGACTTAACTACATCATGACAGTTCAATTTCTGCGCTTTATTTGATGTTGTTTATTTGATTACTTGTCCTATGCTGATGTTTGTGTAAAAATTTAACCATAATGTTATACGGGAATTAATAATTTTAGAAGTTTTTCTAATTTCGATGAAAACAATGTAGTTATTTTGAACTTTTCTTTTGTAATATAACCATATTTTGTCGAAGTTCCTTGATGCTCTTGTTACTTCTATGCTGAGGCATTCACTTAAATTTTTTTTAAACAAAATACCGAGCCTTGTAGTTGAATCATTCATCATGCATCTTAATATTGGATTTTTTTTAATGACACCTTTTAATTGGGATATATCGTTTGAATTTTCTATCTTGACTATTGAAGTAAATATAATGCAGTTTATTAGCGATGGGAATAATGGAGCACAACAATGATTGGTTTGCAATCCAGCAGCACTTTCTTCCGTGTAAATCTACGCATCAGGTTTTTTATATTGTCGCCCACCTTTTAAGCTTAAGTATGTAGCACATCTTTTTTTTTCATTTAAAGTTTTTGTTTTTGCTGGTTTTTCCTAGGGTTTATTAGACCTTTGCCATTCATACTACAGCAATTTTTTTTTTCTTCCTAGAGCTTTTGGATGCTGTGGTCAGTTGGGTTTTAATGTGGGAGTTGCCCTAATTAGCACAAGTAGCATTTACTTTTTTTTATAGGTAATCTTTGTGAAACCATTCACAGACCATAGTTTGGTTTTTTGTTGTTTCTAGCTTTAAATTACACTTAGTTATGTTTGGAGGGCAACGATAAATTTAGAGCAAGTTCCCAAAAGATGATGGGACTTAATTCCATTTATTTTGTGAAACAAGGTGATCATTAATTAGCACAAGTAGCCTTTACTTTTGTTTTATAGGTAATCTTTGTGAAACCATTCGCAGACCATAGTTTGGTCTTTTGTTGTTTCTAGCTTTAGGTTGCACTTAGGTATGTTTGGAGGGCAACGATAAATTTAGAGCTAGTTTCCAAAAGATGTTGGGACTTAATTCCATTTATTTTGTGAAACAAAGTGGTCATTTCAATATATATATATTCATTTCAATATATATATATATATATATATATAGGGGTTTTTGCTAATTTTCGTGAACCTTGTTCAAGTTTTTTGGCAATAAATTTGTATATGTTTCAGCTAATTTTCATGTAAATATTGTTCTATGTATGCTGCTTTCACCCAAATTTTTGTGTATTCCATTCATATTTAATCACTCATCCTAAACTGGTGTTTCTATCTTTAGTTTGAGTTTAATGTGTGGACATATTTGTCTATGGATCCTTATTTTTGTCACTAGAGCTTGTTTCAACTTGTCTTAAGTGCATGCAAGATGTTTTTTGAGGAACATCTGTTAGGTTCTTGTACATGTTGGATTTATGTACTTTTTTATAATTTATAATGCATATTTCGTGCTCCGGATCTCTGTTGTTACATATATGTATTTTTTTTGGTTGCAGATTTTTGTGAGACAGAAGAACCGCAGCTCTTCAAAAGCTCCTCAAAATCCTATAAAGGTAACAGCTAAACTTGGAAGCAGGGAATCATTATCAGCCTTTCGAATTTTGACGTTTAGTTGATGGATTTATTAAACTATGTGCATGCATGCTTGATCCATTGATTTTGACCTGGCCTAAAGTATGAAGTGCGATTCTTATTTAACTTCTGGTTCTTAAATAAGTTGGATATTCATTCCATTTTTTTAATATACTTTTAATGAAGTTTTCAGCATCAATTTTCACTCCGAATTTACTTTGCGATGGCCAAGTTTTGCACTTTTTAATGGAGAATGTAATATTTCTTTGCTGGTTTTTGATTGTGCAGTCATAGATAAAAAGTTTACGTACATGTTTTATTGATGTTGCTGAATATACTATCTGAGTGACCGACCTTTCAAGGAAAAAAAATACCTTTCAAAGAACATGCTTTCCAGGAGTGACCGACCTTTCACGGAAAAAAAATACCTTTCAAAGAACATGCTTTCCAGTGAAAACTGTTAAAAAAATTAAAATGAAATCATTAAACTCTGATGCTGAACTTACTCCTTTCCCTTTCCATTACTTGGAATAGTTGTCATTTTGTTTTAAATAATATCAATGATAGAAAAATGTCTTACTCATTATACGTTGTGTTGGAAATTGGTCGTTGTTTTCATGACAACAATATAAACAATTACAAGTGGAAATTATGAGTGATTGCATGCTAGAGGTGGAAGATATGAAGCTTTGATTAGCCGTCCAACTAGCTGTAATTGGTGGATTATAAAATATGAAGGATGTCTATAGATCCATGTCGGTAAGTTTCGGAGATTGAAAGTTCAGTGTACCTATTCATGTAGCTTTAGGATATATATATATATA